GTGGAAGTTATTCAATCTTTGTAAGATTAGAAAACCTTAATGCAAGAAGGATGTTCAAAGCAATGTACTTTGAATATGAGACTTTCGTTCCATAGAAGTTGACCTTCTTTGGAATACTCTGTTGATTGTACATGCTAGGAGCATGGGACGACTGTTGTTTTTATTCAAGTCTTAAGTTGATTGTTTGAAACATTATACAATGAATAATGTGTAATCAATATGGTGATAAATAAAAGGTGGTTCTATTTATATTCAAAAGGGTTCTGAGACCATATTGGATTCGATTATTATTGTGTTTCACTTTGCATGTTTTGACTTCCAAAATAGCTAGGTTATTCTTTCCGAATGACTAAGTTATTTAAACACTCCACAGTCGTTCATATGTTGGAAGTAGGTATGAATCAAGACTGTCATGAATCGAGTTTGTAGATGGCTAAATGGGTTTAGTCATAGCAATGGTTGCTACAACATTCATGAGTGCTCATAAGTTATGAGTATTGGAATAAACCCACGCTCACTTGTATCACTTCATGGAATTTATCTCGAGTGATCGTGAGACGGTAATATCATATAAATCTTCAAACCTAGAGATATGAGTTGTTACCTATGAGTTGGTTGTGCATTGATTACACGTAAACACATCAGTAACTTGATGTTATAAAACGTGCCTTTGTGTACAATTCAACAAGTAGTAGAACAAGCATATGAGTCGAAGTTTATCTGTTCCTTCTAGAAATAGAAGCGATATCTGGGCCCCTCGATGATTTTGTTGTGACCTATGTACCGGCCGGTCAGAACTAAATTGATGTGTTTGATTAAGTTCTTTGTCAAACAAATCGAAAATCGGGAAACAAACTACTAGACGATAAGTACGACGTTGCTCCATGTATTTGTCTGGCTGATATCATGAGAACAGAGGATTATATGATCACTTATCTAAAATGGCGCTTCATAGTTCAACAGAGTTTTCGAGAGCTACGATTGCTGGTTGGTTCCTGAAGTAACATACACAAATATAGTTATTAGACTTATCCAAGTGGGAGTCTGTTGGATAAGGTGTCTAAGTCCATAACTTATTTGGTATATACTTGACCCGACCCGACATGGACCATTTGGGTTGCATTTCATCCAAACTATTTATGGATAATTTTATGAGAGTTATACACATATGTTTATTAATATATTGTAAGTTATAATATATTAATATGAAGTTATTTAATTAGTCTTAGTCTTAAATTAATTATGAATTAATTTAGAGATTAAAAGGAAGACTAATTAGATTGTGGGATATTGGTTTTATATGGTGTGGGCTAATACTCATTTGTTAATGGGTTAGGCTTGTATGGAAGTCCATGGATGATCCATGGAGCTTTTAACCCATGGATCCTTGGGAAAGAAAAGGTCATGGGTTATTAGGGTTTCACCCTAATCATGTACACTATATAAGCATTCTTATGTTGCATGAAATAGCCACTAGTGTCACTAGTGTGTGTGTGTGTGTTTGTGTGTGGATGATTTTATAAGTGTGTATACACTCTCTCAAAGTTTTCCAAGAGTTTGTGGTGATTTGTGATTCCATTTGAGACATTCACACTATTGGTGCTTGTCCCTCAAACTCCTTAGGAATCAAACTCATCATCAAAAGGTATGTAATCTCATCTAATTCTTTTATGTTTAAAAGTACCCCATGCCATGTTAGATAGGTTATGAACCTTGGAAAAATTATTATTTTGCATGTATTTAGACAAACATAGATCCAAGGTTTATTAGGGTTGCATGCACACTTAGGAAGTGTTAGATTGCTCAAAACCTAACTTATGCACCCTTATACAAAACCATTATAAATGGAAAACTTGAGAATAAGTACTAAATTTGATAGAGAAAAGGTTTTATGACCAAAATTGCATAAGTCAACTATACTTAGAGACCAAAAATGTAACAACTATTGGGAAGGTTTATCGTATCTTATTGGTAGGGGTGACAATTTGTGACACGACACGACAAAAATACACGACACGAAACGAAATTGGGACGAAATTGAAATTTGAATTCGTGTTCGTGTTAACTGTAAAAAAACACGATGTTGTGTCGTGTCATATTCGTGTTCAAAATTCGACACGAAATTGACACGATTTAGCTTATCATGTTTTTTGTGTTTGTCGTGTTATATTTGATAAAGTATTTCATTAAATAAACTAATTTTTAGTCTATGTTATATTTTTCGTGTCGTCTCGTGTTTGTCGTTTTTTAATTCGTTCATTTTCGTGTGAGTTAAAAAAAACACGACGTCGTGTCGTGTCGTGTCAGAAACACGAAACGATAGCAAGATTTTCCACCTCTACTTATTGGTCTTCTGTTCCGCGATCATATTCATCTAAGTTGAATCAAATGTCATTCCAAAAAACCTCTTTCATAACCTACCAATGAACATAAACACTCGTTTCTCAATGCATACTTTTTAATTGCATATGCATTTATGATCTATGAAGTAGTCATTTTAACTACTCGGGGTGCTATATTAGATACCACTTTTTATGTAAACATTATTAAAGATCTAACAGTTATAGCATTGTACTTTTATTTTTATTTTTCAATAAAAGACGAACTACATTTCCCTTGTTCTTTTGTTTTGTTTGTTTAGGTTGTTGAAGTTGATGTGAAAGTTAAAGAATATGGGAAAGATAACATCCATAATAATGCATTCTACACTGAATACACGTTACCTAAAATTGAAAATGCTTGTGAATATGATTCTTTGTGTATATAGGTATGTTTGTGTATATAGGTATGGAGTAAGTTCTAAAAATGTATTTCATTTTATAGCAATAGCATCCTACTATTTTTTTTACAACATCCAATTCCAAATATTTTCTAGGTATCAAATTTTGATTATGTTATTTCTTTTTTCATTGTTTGGGGATTCATGAGGTGCAAAAAGAGGTAATTTTAATCGTATATTATATTGCAATGAAATTATTCTTATTTGCTTTTGTTGTAACTCTACCATAACTGAAAATCATTTATGTCTGATTTATAATTTTGTTTTCGACTTCCATTAATATAATACTAATGAAAATCAGCAACACAACATAGAAGTCCGTAACTTTTGGAATTTGTGTCCGACCCAGGCCAATGGAAAGAAAGAATTTTCAAAGTACAATGCATTACCAACAAAATTAATAATAGAATCAATAGAAAAAAATAATAGAATATTATAAGACTACTTCCATAAATAAACCAATTCAACCCAACTTTTCACTAAAAAAAAATTAATAATAATTTCTCACCAAAAAAATAATAATAATTTCTCTCCATTCCAAATGTACATCCCAAATACAACTTTTTATTAAATAGATCATAGTTTATGATTAAACTTTATTAAATTAAAATTATTTAACGTATTTACTTTAAGGATGAGCATTAGAACCATTGGAACCGGAACCGAAACCGGATTTAATAAAACGGTTCGGTTAGCGGTTCTTTACTTATAGCAAAACCGCCCGTAACTCATTCATATGAAGTCGGAATTACTTGATTATTTTTCTTTAATGTAATTTAATGTTTTTACTTAATTTTAGACTATAAAAAACATATTTTGGTTAAATATTGAATCATATACAATCCCCGGAAGAGAGCATATTAATGCTATGTTTTTTTATTCTGTCCCGGTTTTTAAAATACCATAACAATCGGAATTACTTGATTTTTTTTCCAAAATGTAATTTAGTGTTTGTACTTAATTTTAGGTTATAACAAATCATATTTTTGTTAAATATCGAATCATATACAATCCCTGGAAGACAACATATAAATGTTGTATTTTTTCTGTTTCAGCACGTTTTTTAATTATGTCTCGGTTTTTAAAATATCGTAACTCACTCATATGAAGTTGGAATTACTTGATTTTTTTCAACATGTAATTTAATGTTTGTACTTCATTTTAGACTGTAAAAAATATATTTTGGTTAAATATTGAATCATATACAAGCCCCGGAAGACAACATATCAATGCTGCGTTTTTTTTTTTTTCATCATGTTTTTTTTTGTCCCGATTTTTAAAATGTTGTAACTCACTCATATGAAGTCAGAATTAATTGATTTTTTTTTCAATATGTAATTTAGTGTTTGTACTTCATTTTAGAATGTAAAAAATCATAGTTTAGTTAAATATTGAATTTGATATAAGTCCGGAAAGACAACATATCAATGCAGCGTTTTTTCATTTTTTTAATATGAAAGTTTAATTGTCTTTTTATTTTTTGGAAGCCAACTAAACTACATGTATGTATTATGAATTGCATCATCATTAGATTCACCTTATTTATAACCGGTTCTTGTTTAAAAAAAATAAATAAATAACTGAAAACCCGGGACCGGAACCGGCACCGAAACCAGCGGTCCGGTTCCCGGTTCTTATGATATCGCAATACCGCCTCCGTTTCCGAATCGCTCGATTCCTGTCCCTGTCCAATTCCAGCGTTCATCCCTAATTTACTTAGTATATAGCCCCTTCTTTATTAATCCTTATTAAAAGTACCAATAATATTGAAAAAAAAAATAATTCAAAAATGATATTTAGATATACGAGATGATCCATATATACGAAATCAAATGACATTAAAATGAAATGTTAAAATATGCCAATGTTATATTTTATTTGTAGGAAAAAAATATACGAGTTTTGATATTTTAATTTTTTTTAACTGAAACAATGTTGATTTTTATGCTTATACGTTTATCTCATAGTATATATTTATTCAACTACGAGTGGCATGTGCATTTAAGCTATAAAAAAAATCCCATGCACATGGATTGTGCTGAAAGCATATCACACTAAATTAATTAATTTTTCTTTTGGGTGATTCTCTCAAGACCAGCATCAATTTAATTTTATAATCTTTCATAGCCTTTCACTTCATATATAGTTCCTTCACCCTTTTTTTTCCCATGAATACGAGTCCCACAAGAGATTTATACTCTGTCGACACAACAGCTCAAAAATGGAAAGAAATAGTATTCTTAGGGTGCGTTTGAGGATGCTAATCATGCTAGCTTGCGTTGCTACAATCAAAGCCACTGAAGCAGACATCAGTTGCCTAAGATCTATCAAGGAATCGCTAGAAGACCCTTCACATATATTTTCTAGCTGGGATTTTAACCACATGTACGAAGGTTTCATCTGCACTTTTGCTGGTGTTGAATGTTGGCATGATGATAACATAGTTATTAGCATTCATCTAGCAGGCAAGAAACTCAGAGGATCGTTTCCAATTGGTATAAAAAACTGCACCAACATGGCGACTTTAGATCTTTCCAACAACTACATCTCTGGACCCATTCCTTCTGATCTTGGTGATGGTTTAGATTTCATTGTAGATCTCAATCTCTCCAACAACAGTCTCTCAGGCCCAATTCCTCGTAGTATTGTGAATTGGAGGTATATCAATGTTTTGAGGCTTGACAACAATAACCTAACAGGCCAGATCCCTTCAGATTTGACTGGACTTGATCGAATCAAGGTGTTTAATGTCACCAACAATAGATTATCAGGACCAGTTCCCATATTTTCAAATGGTGATTTCTCTGCAGAAAGCTATGGAAACAACCTAGAACTTTGTGGGGGTCCCTTGAAGGCTTGCAAGGATGATAAACATGATGATGAAGGTTTTTTTCTTTCGGGGTTTGCAGTTGGATTTCCACTATTTACGATCTTAAGTATTTTGTTTATGTTTTTCTTTTTCCCCTAGACTAATTATGTGTAAGTAACATGAGATATCGTATGTAAATCTAGATTCTGTTAGACTAGATGTATTTTATTATTCATGTATATATTTTGTGTATTACCTATATTTCTCCGGATGGAAATCCAAAAGAAATTTAGACTCAAGAAGTTTTCTATAAAACTAGATTAAAGATGGAAAGAACTAGAATTCCTGGTTTGCGGTTGCCTATGCTAATCATGCTAGCTTGCTTTAACTACAATCAATGTTGTTGCATGTTGGTTGTCTGACTTTTTAAGAGAAAAATATTAGCCGATCATATCTTAGCAAGACATTTTTGTGGGTATATCCGATTGTATCTTATTCCCTATTTATATATAGGGCTTTGTTCATTAACACAAGATAAGGCAATTCATTCAAGATCTGTAATCGTTGTTATGGTATCAGAGCCTACCTAAACCCTAACACCCAATCTTTTTTCTAAGAATAAAGCCATGGTTTTGCTTCAATCTTCTTCCATGACAAAAGATGCTTCTGGTTCAGGTGAAGTGAAGGCCATGGCCTTGCACCCTGCCTACACTGTCACAAACATGAAACATCCAGACAAAGATCCGAACGTTGGATGGCTCAAAAGTCACGTACTCATCATGGACAAAGTTGGTTCGTCTTCATGCCAAGGCTTACAAGGTTCTCGATCGCATTGATGACACTCCTGCACTGGTTGACACCAATCCCGGGTACCTCCAATGGGCTGAAATCGATGCGCTTGTCCTTCAATGGATATACAGCACCTTATCTGATGAATTGATGGTCCGCATCTTAGAGACTGATACCATTGCCCAAGCCACTTGGAATAAACTCAAATAAATTTTGCTCAACAACAAAGGGTCACGTGCAGCAGCCCTTGAACAGAATTCACCAGTCTTACATTGGGAGCATGTTCATCTATGGAATCTTATTGCCAAAAACTTAAAGATCTTGATGATCAGCATGGAGATGTTGAGAACCCAGTCATCGAGTCTAGACTGGTCTTACAAATGGTTCGTAGGTTACCACAGGAGTTTGATGTTGTTGGGGCCTACATCAATCAAAGCTCTCCATCCTTTGAAACAGCTCGTAGCATGTTACAACTTGAACAACACAGACAAAAAGCTAGGAAAAATCAAACCCACACGGTTCTCGTTGCTCCTACTTCTGTTGACAGGTCACCACAAAACGAAGCAGTTGGTCAACGCAATCAAGGTCAACCCTACAACAACTACTCAGGCAGAGGTACAGGCACTTGTGGGCGAAGCTTTACTGGTCAAGGACGTGGCAAAAGCTTCAGGGGACGTGGCGATCGTGGCCACCAAAAATGGAACCAAGGAAATCAATGGCAGCAACAAGGATAGAATGGATCGCAATCATGGTATCCACCTCCATCACCATACCTTTCTCATGGACCACATTAATCCACAAATCACAGGGCTAATCACACCTACGGGCCCAGTCAATATTCTGGACCCACAACATAACAGGGACCAATTGGACCTCCGATACAGCCATCAGGTCCGACGCCTACTCCCACTACTCAATTTGTTGGTTATTCTGGCTACAGTCCGTCAGATTTAGCATAGACAATGCAGCAAGTTCGTCTTAACTCTAATGATTCAGCGTGGTATATGGACTCCGATGCCTAAGCACATCTTACATCTGATCAGGGTAAGATCTCAAGTTCCATAACTACTTCGCCTGTAACATCGATTTTTGTTGGAAATGGCTCTAGTCTGCCAATTCATGGGTCTGGTCATGCTTCTTACACTACCCCCTCTCATTCATATACTCTAAAAAATATCTTGTTTACTCCATATGTTATTAAAAATCTTTTATCTGTTCGTAAGTTTACTATCGATAATCAAGCTTCTGTTGAATTTTGACCCATCTCATTTTTTCTATAAAGGACCTCAAGATAGAAAGGACCTCAAGACTGGAGCTCTTCTTTCTTGTCATGATAGCATGTGATATCTTTACCCCTTCACTGCACCTTCCAGTTCTATTGCTCTGCTTGCCACTTCTCACGATCGTTGGCATGCTCATTTGGGTCACCCGGGCTCCTGTTTTAGATTTACTTCGTTCAAAATTTTCAAATTCTTGCAATAAACCTATAACTTCTTTGTGCGATGCTTGCCAATTATTTAAACATACTCGCTTACCTTTTTATGATTTGTAATCTGTTACTTATGCACCATTTGACATTATACATTGTGATCTTTGGACATCCCCAGTCTTAATGGTCCTTATTGATAATTTCACTCATTATGTACGGGTATACCCCCCTCAAATATAAATCTGACACATTTCTCACTTTTACAAAATTTCACAAGCTTATCCATACACAATTTAACCGAACCATTAAGTCATTCCAATGTGATCTTGGGGGAGAATTTGACAATAATGACTTTTTTATCCTTTGCCCACACTCATGGTCTCGTCTTCCGTTTCTCTTGCCCTCAAACTTCCCAACAAAATGGACGAGCCGAACAGATGATTCGTCGCATTAATGACATTATCTATACCCTTCTCACTCATGCCTCTCTTCCCCACTCATTTTGGGTTGAAGCTCTTCACACCGCCACCGACCTTCATAATATCCTTCATATTAAACGCCAAATTTTTCCACACCTGCCTTCTCTCTCTATGGTCGTCAACCATCATATGATCATCTCCGCACCTTCGGGTGCACATGTTATCCTAATATCTCATCTACTCAATCTCATAAACTCCAACCAAGATCCGTCAAATGTGTTTTCCTTGGCTATCCGGAAAACTTTCAGGGATATCGATGTTTTGATCCATCAACTGGCAAAGTCTATCTGTCTCGACATGTTACATTAGATGAAACCTCTTTTCCCTTTTCCAATACCCCTCCCCCATCCACATCTTTTGACTATCTTGATGACCCCCCCCCCCCCCCTTCATGTTTTTCCCTACTCCGCATCTACCAACCCTACTCCTCCTTCACCACCACCCCTACCCAATCTTCAACACCACCTCACTCCACCTCCTCATCTCCTCACCCTCCTATCTTGACCTATTATCGTCGGTCAAAAGCACCATCCATCACCACCGAACCTTTATCAACACCCATACCTCCCTCCTACACTCCACCTTCACCTACAACAACCCATCCTCAATCCACTCCATACGTAGAATGTCTTTTTAACGACTCCATAATTTTTTCATTTGTATGAACATTATAATTTTTTACAAGGTCAAAAATCTCAAATATTCAAATGAAAAAAAATTAAAATTCCTACATGAAAATGGAACGTTGGATTCCTCAATATTTACTTCAGAAAATAAAATAAATAAGAATGTAAAAATCTTAGAAAGTGGGAAAAAGTTGAAATCAATGGTTAAAACAATGAAAGTTAGACATGATATTCATTTGACTAGCTAGCATATAACGTGGTGATGTATTGGCTTGCTAATTTATCAATGCATGTTGCTTGTCTATGCATAGTTTACCGTATTATATCTTCTAAATAGAATACGGTTCTATAACCGTATTTTATTGCTTCTTCAAATAAAACACTGACAACATTATAAACACAAATTCCTAATATGATCAGCTCGATTTCAAATCAAACCAGAACGTTTACATATACTATTACAACTCAAACATCACAACAAGTTTCCTACACTACTCTCTTATGATTACACACATATATCTAACTGTAACGGATAAAGAACATGAAACCCTAAAAGACTTAACCCTAATCTGTAACAAAGGAATGAGAATAATTTGTGTGAATGAACTACATACAAAATGATCTGATAATTTTTCATTCAATACAAACAATTCTACATATATAGGGTATAACCTAAACATGGAACATATTTGAACCTAATGTGGGGCAAATACATATATAATGAAAAATAGTCATCAACACTTCAAATCAGTAGCTTCCAATCTCCTTTGTGCAGTTTCCTGTTGTACATCCAGCTTTAAGCATCACACAACTCAACTATAAATCCAGAACTAAACCATGAAGTTCCAAAAGGTTGCAACTTTAGTCCCCAACAAACCTGCACTAACTAGATTAAGTCAGTTGTACCCATACTTGTTGGGTAATTAAGATTGTAAGGAAATAGGCATTATTTCCATCAAGCACATTCTATTAGAATACGCTTCAATGTCCGTATTTTAATTTCTTTTTCAACCGTATTTTATTTTTGATTTTGTAGTAGTGACTAGAGTACTAGACTCAAAGGACCATTACTAATTGGCATAAGAAACTGTATCGACATGAGAACTTTATCTCTTTCCAACAACTACCATTCCTTCTGATCTTGCAGATAGTTTAGTATACATGGTACATCTCGATCTCTCTAACAACAGTCTATCAGGTTCAATTCCATCAAGTATATATTGTCAATTGTATGTATATGAATTCACTAAAGCTTCAAAACAACCACCTAACAGGCCGAATCCCACAAGAGTTAACTGTACTTTACTGCATTGTGGTATTTAATGTCTCTAACAATAGACTCTCAGGAGCTGTACACCTATATTTGATAGTGGTTATAGAGTATCTGCTGAAAGCTATACAAACAACTCAGGACTTTGTGGAAGTCCATTGAAGGCATGCAAGAATGAAGATGGCAATGATCTTTTCCTTTTAGGGTTTGAAGTTGTATTTCCACTTTTTATGATCTTAAGTATGTTGTTTGTGTCCATCTATTTTACCTAGACTGTGTGAATGTTTGTTTTTTATAACTATGGATGCAAAATAATATTATGGTTATTGTTGTGTTAATCCAAACTAAGTCAATCACGTGATTATCTTTAAAGGTATTTTAGTCCTTCTTGTAGAGTTTGAATAATTAAAGGCCATGTAGGCCACGTTTTTTTAGCAGATTTTTTAGAATAGTTTAGATAGGGGTTAGTTAGTTAGCTCCTTATTTTGTTGCTTTTGACTAGGTAGACGTGTTTTGATTCCTCTATATATATTGTATGATATTGTATTGAATGAGAAGGCAAGAGGTTAGAAAGATGTATTGTATTGAATGAGAAGGCAAGAGGTTAGAAAGATGTAGCCTTACTGTGTAGTTTTGTTCCAACAGTTATTTGACAAGGAATAATATTTATTGGAAGTATTTTTTTTTCACTTTTCTATATAGTTCAATCACTCTTCCTTGTGCTTCTTCTTCTTCTTCCCCTAACACATATTTTAGAGCACCCACATAGATATATATGTGTTTCAAATTTTCTTGCACAAACTTAGAGGTTCTCCAACCACAAACATCAAAATGGTGATTGTTTAGCACCAAAATAGTGTTTGAATTACAATATATATATATATATATATATATATATATATATACAGAGAGAGAGAGAGAGAGTGTGTGTGTGTGTGAGAGAGAGAGAGAGAGAGTTAGATTCAAATATTTCTAGCAACTATTATGTTCCTAAATGCACCAATCAGAAATTAGCAAATAATTAAATAATTAATTAAATCAAAAAGGGTATTTCTAGTTTTTTGCACCTTGCAATTAATGTGATCATTTAATTAAATCCCTTCAATTAAGGAAACAAAATAAACAAGTTTTATAAACCCTAAAAAACTTCTAGAACATCAATTCACCAAATGGTAGATATCTCTTTTCCGTCTTCAATTTCTTCACACGTCCTTAGATCGTTAATTTTGTCTGTACCACCATGATCATACGTAGCCATCAGCAACACCATCCTCCTTCCTCATTCGAATTTTGGTCTTTCCTCATCGGTGAGATTTTGTTCTCCAATTTGAAATCGATTTTCACATAATCGATTTTTGTAATCAAAATCGATTTTCTTCTCTTGCAAGTTTTTTCTTAGATCAAAATCCAATTCTGTTATAAATGGAGTCTTAATTTAAGGTAGGGAATCTCAAGTTACCAAGAGAAAGAAAGAATGAGGAGTCGGGTGGGAAGAAAGCAATTATTCTTGTTACTTTTTTGCTTCTAAAACTTTTAAAAATAGGTAAGCTTCCTTATTTATTTTTCTCTTATCATTGATTGGTTTGATTTCTTTGGAAAAGAGAAAGATGTTTTCTTGGTTTGATACTTTAAGTGGATGATAATAAAACATGCCTTCCAAGTGTATGATATAATGTCAAAAAGAGAAGGTTTTGGTGTAAATGAGGTAATTTTGATATGTTGAACTATTTGGGAGGATTCTATCATAATCTGAGGTAATTTTGATATGTTGAACTATTTTGGATGATAATGAAACATGCCTTTACATGTTCTTTTTTTCTCTTTTGATTACAAATGCTAATATTCGGGGGGGTTGTTTGTGTGTGTTCAAGCATAACTAATTTGTTGTGCTTAGAAGATTGCGTCTTTTGGGCTTGTTTGTTTATAATTTTTTGTATTACGGTTTGGGCCTGTCCAACCGTGTGTCTTTTATGCTTTGTATATAAGCTTATGCTTGCATGCATATTAGGTTAAGGTTTTAGAGATCTGAGAATACGATATTTTCCAGACGACTAAAGGTTTATTTGATCATACTTGTAACCTTCCAATCCTCTACAGTTGATGTTCTTAATCGAGCTCTTCTGAGGATTTTGTTTTAATCATTCGACTCG